GTTGAGAGTTCTAATTTTCATTTTGTTGAGGGCATGATCTAACATAGAGTAAAACAAAACTTACTTTGATCTATGGTCCTGAAGGCTCTCCACTGTTTCCAGCTCTAACAAAACCGGTCAACCAAAGCATTTCTTTTTGCTGGTCTATGGCTTCCCCCACCAGTGTTATCATGTAGAGTTCAATACCTGTGACCACTTATGGTCCAGCATTGTAGGTAATGACAACAAAGTGTACACCAACATTCCTGCACTGGAGTAGAACAAACCCCTGGCTGCCATGGGACCATGGAGGAGGTAATTAAGTAAACCATGGAAGTAATTAGATAATGTAAAGGTAAACTTGATAAATTAAACCATTTAATCACCATCTAAACTTAACATTGATATACAGTATTTATTCCTAGTGGATATTAATAGAGATTAAACAGGCCACGGTTCGATTTAAAAGCTGGGGGAGGATCCTGTTATCCAATCTGATCTTCTGTAGGGTTTATAACCAAGCTATTATCAAACAATAGTAAGCCCTGCTGGTTGCAGCCTCAACTACTTCCCCCTATTTACAGACCCTGGGCTGAATATTCATACAGCCTTAGCCAATCCCTAGTCAAGGGGGTGACCAGCAGGGGGCTGAGATGTGTATAAATAGTCTAGGGCCTGAAACAGCAGGGCCTTGTCCAGGAGGAGAAGACCCAGCCTGAAGGGCTGCTGCCCTTCTGGGAAGATTAGCTGAAGACTACAGGAATTTCATTGAGGTACCAGCTCAGGGCGAGCTGGGGGGTCCTGTTTCTAGAGCTGAGGAGAACTGTTTGGAGAAAGTCTGCAGAAGATCTGTCCTGGAAGTTCGTGGTACAGGGTCTGGCTGGTACCAGAAGGAGGCAACCATATACACAGTGAGAAAAGGTTAGAGAGAGAGAGAAATCTTAGTGACTATTGTTGCTTAACCCCGGGAGAGACTGTTCCAGAGTTTCAGACTCTGGGCTGCTGCCAAAGCGGGAACTTGTATGTCTGCTATCTCTTATCAAAAGAGATCCATCCTGAGGAGTTAGCTACTACTAGAGAGTGTCCTCTGTTACAGCTTGCACTACATTTGGATATCCCAAGGCTCACCCTACATCCCAACCAAGTTTAACTAGCATAAAACTTAAAAAAAAGATACTTGCTGTCTGGTTATTGTGTTGAGAGACTGGAAAACCACTGTGTGCCTGGATGCTGGGCACCCAATAAGGAATAGAACCCAGGACAAAAACAGCAGGACCAGCTTGGGGGTCTGCACTACATATGGAATATTGTTTTGACAAATTCAAGATTCTTCAGGTTACCAGTCAGCTGTGGTGAAGAATTATTTTCTTGATAGCTTAGACAGTAAAGTCTAATATCTTATCCATACTAACTCAACAAGCTACAACTGGAGGGTCTCTTTCGAAAGATACTTTTACATATCATCTTCTTTGAGATGGCTGGCTTCTGAAAACTTTTATTAAAATTGGCAGTTTAAGGACCTGCTGCAGGTCCACATTTGTTAATGTATACACAGAACTGGCACAGTTACTAATTTATGTGCACTGTATGGGTTATGTTAGTGTTTTCAACCTGTTATTTTATTTTCAGTGCTTTTTTAGAATTCAGATGATTAATAATGCTATATTCTGAACCAGCCAGTCAACAACTCACCTTCCAGTGTTGAGCGTCTTTAACATTTCCACACGTCCCATTAAAAAATCCATTTAATCCAGTAGGGCAGCCAAGGAGTGAATGCAGAGCATGTACATAGGCATAAACAGCCAGGTAGGCATGAAAAGTGTAGCTGAGATCATTGATTTCAAATAACTGGGAAACCTTACTGCCCAGCTCTTCTTCCCCGGTGCAGGTCACATCTGTCTTTATATCAGTATTTGAATTCTCACTATCTCCATTAGTCCAGTGGCAGCTGAAAGCTTTCTCCCAGAATGACCTAATAAATGGGTAACTTGAGTTGCCGGTTGGGTAAAGGTTCAGAAGGAATTCCTCAAACCCTGGCATGGTGCCAGTACGGGGAATCAGTCCAATTGTCCCATTTAGAACCTTCCAGGTTTTCTTGGAGAAATCTCCAGGTGAAAGTCCAAAGTAATCTGAAGCAAGTAAAATTTTCCCAATAGCCCCCTCATCAAATAAAGCTTCTAGCAGGGCTTTAATATGGACATCTGGGCAGTGCATAAGAATCACATTGACAGAGCTTTTTTTAATTACGTCTACCACTCTCTTGATCTGTTTGTCTGAATAACTGACATGGATCTTCTCCAGAAAGGCAACACAGCCTCCATTGCTTTTTATCCTAGCTTCTATAATCTGTCCACCCTGATACCCAATATCGTCGTCTGCCACCAAAATACCGACCCACGTCCAACCAAACTTCCTGGCGAGGTCAGCAAGAGCTATTTGCTGAAATATGCTGGGTACCGTGCGAAAAAAATGTTGGGAACAGTATTTTATTGCTGAGAGTTGAAAAGGTAGACCCATAACTTATCTGTAAAGAGTATGACATTATTAAGCGGAGAGGGGAAGAATTAGAATTTATGACATTTTTTTTATTGGTGTTCATGCCTTCCTTTCCTGGTTACAACCATACCTCCTCATGTATTATCCTGGTGTCACGGGGACTGGAAATTAAGGAAGATCTCCCCAATGAAGTCATAGACAGAAACATTGTGCCATATTTTTAGTTTTACAGATGGATGTTATCTGTAGGCCAAGGGGACAGTCAATGTCCTTGCTAGATGGCACAGCAATCAATTATAGGTTGAGCCACATAAAGAGTGAGATGTTCCCACAGGAAGACTACAGACCAACTCTCTCTGTAAATTATCACTTCTTTGAAAAGAGTAGAAAAAGCACAATCACTGTGCTAGCAGAAATGGGTGCCCCATGTCAGTCACCAAAAAATCATTATAGACTCTGTCTATAATAAATCTTTATTGGGTGTTTTTATCAGATTATAAAAATAGGACTTTATATAAGACATTAATCCTCCCGCCTGGCCTATAGACACATGAAGGCCAAGCGGGAGTGAAGTTATTCCTTCAACTTCATATGATGTCCTCCTTCCTGATTTTTTTTTTTGCATATTTGTCACATTTAAATAATTAAATAATTAAGATCATCAAACAATCTTTAATATTACACAAACATAACCCAAGTAAATACAAAATGATTATTTCATGTATTAAAGGAACAGAGCTGATTGATTTTCAAATATACCGTATTTTTCGCTCCATCAGACGCACTTTTTTCCCCCCAAAAAAGGGGGGAAATGTCAGTGCGTCTTATGGAGCGAATATAAAGTGGCCGGTCCGGTATTCCGCTGCCACCATGTCAGAATACCGGGCTGGCCGCTCGGCTGTTCTCTGATGCAGGACCTTACCTCGGTCCAGCGCTGCGCAGTCTTCCCGCGCCGGCATCTGTGACAGCCGGGTGCCCACTGTACATGCGCGAGAAGCGCTGCACTTTGTGAATGGTCCGGCATCTTCTGGGACACATGACAGGTCCCAGGAGATGCCGGGCCATTCACAAAGTGCAGCGCTTCTCGCGCATGCGCAGTGGGCACCCGGATGTCACAGTCGGGTGCCCACAGTAAAGCGAGGACAACTCCTTGGAAGTGGGAGAAGGTACCTGTCATATTCAGGTACCCGCTCCCCTTCCTTCCCTAAAGGTCCGCAGTGTCTGGTCATCTCCTGTACTGTCTTCAGTCTCTGGTCATCCCCTGTACTGTCTTCAGTCTCTGGTCATCCCCTGTACTGTCTGCAGTCTCTGGTCATCCCCTGTACTGTCTGCAGTCTCTGGTCATCTCCTGTACTGTCTTCAGTCTCTGGTCATCCCCTGTACTGTCTGCAGTCTCTGGTCATCCCCTGTACTGTCTTCAGTCTCTGGTCATCCCCTGTACTGTCTGCAGTCTCTGGTCATCCCCTGTACTGTCTGCAGTCTCTGGTCATCTCCTGTACTGTCTTCAGTCTCTGGTCATCCCCTGTACTGTCTGCAGTCTCTGGTCATCCCCTGTACTGTCTTCAGTCTCTGGTCATCCCCTGTACTGTCTGCAGTCTCTGGTCATCCCCTGTACTGTCTGCAGTCTCTGGTCATCCCCTGTACAGTCTGCAGTCTCTGGTCATCTCCTGTACTGTCTTCAGTCTCTGGTCATCCCCTGTACTGTCTTCAGTCTCTTGGTCATCCCCTGTACTGTCTGTAGTCTCTGGTAATCTCCTGTACTGTCTTCAGTCTCTGGTCATCTCCTGTACTGTGTCCGCAGTCTCTGGTCATTCCCTGTACTGTCTGCAGTCTCTGGTCATCCCCTGTACTGTCTGCAGTCTCTGGTTATCTCCTGTACTGTCTTCAGTCTCTGGTCATCCCCTGTACTGTCTTCAGTCTCTTGGTCATCCCCTGTACTGTCTGTAGTCTCTGGTAATCTCCTGTACTGTCTTCAGTCTCTGGTCATCTCCTGTACTGTGTCCGCAGTCTCTGGTCATCTCTTGTACTGTGTCCGCAGTCTCTGGTCATCTCCTGTACTGTGTCCGCAGTCTCTGGTCATCTCCTGTACTGTGTCCGCAGTCTCTGGTCATCCCCTGTACTGTCTGCAGTCTCTGGTCATCCCCTGTACTGTCTGCAGTCTCTGGTCATTTCCTGTACTGTGTCCGCAGTCTCTGGTCATTCCCTGTACTGTGTCCGCAGTCTCTGGTCATCCCCTGTACTGTGTCCGCAGTCTCTGGTCATCTCCTGTACTGTGTCCGCAGTCTCTGGTCATCTCCTGTACTGTCTTTAGTCTCTGGTCATCCCCTGTACTGTCTGCAGTCTCTGGTCATCTCCTGTACTATGTCCGCAGTCTCTGGTCATCTCCTGTACTGTCTGCAGTCTCTGGTCATTCCCTGTACTATGTCCGTAGTCTCTGGTCATCTCTTGTACTGTGTCTGCAGTCTCTGGTCAACTCCTGTACTGTGTCTGCAGTCTCTGGTCATCCCCTGTACTGTGTCTGCAGTCTCTGGTCATCTCCTGTACTGTGTCCGCAGTCTCTGGTCATCTCTTGTACTGTGTCTGCAGTCTCTGGTCATCTCTTGTACTGTGTCCGCAGTCTCTGGTCATCTCCTGTACCGTGTCCGCAGTCTCTGGTCCTCTCCTGTACTGTGTCCGCAGTCTCTGGTCATCTCCTGTACTGTGTCCGCAGTCTCTGGTCATCTCCTGTACTGTGTCCGCAGTCTCTGGTCATCCCCTGTACTGTGTCCGCAGTCTCTGGTCATCTGCTGTACTGTGTCCGCAGTCTCTGGTCATCTCTTGTACCGTGTCCGCAGTCTCTGGTCATCTCCTGTATCATGTCTGCAGTCTCTGGTCATCTCCTGTACTGTCCGCAGTCTCTGGTCATCCCCTGTACTGTGTCCGCAGTCTCTGGTCATCTCCTGTACCGTGTCCGCAGTCTCTGGTCATCTCCTGTACCGTGTCCGCAGTCTCTGGTCATCTCCTGTACCGTGTCCGCAGTGTCTGGTCATCTCCTGTACCGTGTCCGCAGTCTCTGGTCATCTCCTGTACCGTGTCCGCAGTCTCTGGTCATCTCCTGTACCGTGTCCGCAGTCTCTGGTCATCTCCTGTACCGTGTCCGCAGTCTCTGGTCATCTCCTGTACCGTGTCCGCAGTCTCTGGTCATCTCCTGTACCATGTCCGCAGTCTCTGGTCATCTCCTGTACCGTGTCCGCAGTCTCTGGTCATCTCCTGTACTGTGTCCGCAGTCTCTGGTCATCTCCTGTACTATGTCCGCAGTCTCTGGTCATCCCCTGTACTGTCCGCAGTCTCTGGTCATCTCCTGTACTATGTCCGCAGTCTCTGGTCATCCCCTGTACCGTGTCCGCAGTCTCTGGTCATCTCCTGTAGTACATCCGCAGTCTCTGGTCATCTCCTGTACTGTGTCCGCAGTCTCTGGTCATCTCCTGTACTGTCCGCAGTCTCTGGTCATCTCCTGTACTATGTCCGCAGTCTCTGGTCATCTCCTGTAGTACATCCGCAGTCTCTGGTCATCTCCTGTACTGTGTCCACAGTCTCTGGTCATTTCCTGTACTATTTCTGCAATCCATTGGTTCAGAATATTTTTTTTCTTGTTTTTCTCCTCTAAAACCTAGGTGCATCTTATGGTCAGGTGCGTCTTATAGAGCGAAAAATACGGTATATACTATAGTTTGTAGTCTCTGTAACTTTCACAAAGACTAAATAATAAAGACTGATTTGGGTTTTTTTTTACCCCAAAATTAGCAGAATACATTTTGGCCTAAATTTATGAAGAAAGATCAATTATTTGCAAAATTTTAAACAGAAAATTAAAAAATATATATATATTTTATATAGCAAAAAATAAAAAACCCAGTGATGAATAAATACCACCAAAAGAAATCTCTATCTGTCTCAAAAAGGATGAAAATTTTCATCTGGGTACAGTGTTGCATGACTGAGCAATTGTAATTCAAATTGCGACAGCGCTGAAAGCTGAAAAGTGGCCTGGGCAAGAAGGGGGGTGAAAGCATTAAATATTGAAGGGGTTAAATTGCTTTAACCACATGCCGCCCAGCCACTGCCTATAAACGGTGGCAGGGCGGTGCTCGTAGGCAAAACGACGTTTTAAAACGGACCTCCGCAAAACAGGTAGGGGGCGCGCGTGAGGCGCGCGCCCGCCCTGCCTGTCCCGCGGGTGTCCGCAGCAGGTGTCAGCCGCCGGGTCACGGACGGTTTTTACCGGCCGTTTTCCCGCGATGAGCTGTTATCACTGACACAGAGCAGAGCTGCATTGTTTACACACAGCTGCTCTGTGATAGTTCCCCAACAAGCTGAAGAGAGAGAAAATAATTTCTTTTCCTCGATCAGCTCCCCCCTCCCTCCCCCATCCAGCACACACCCCCGCCCCCTAGTAAAACACTCCCCTTACACAGTGAACACTAATGTTAACCCCTTCCTCCCCATTGCCATTAGTACAGTATCAGTCGGGTTTTTTTTCACTGATCACTGTATTGGTGTCACTGGGGATGTCAGTGACCCCAAGTCAGTTCCCCCCCCCAGTGTCAAAATGTCCGCCGCTGTCCCGCAGTCCCGCCATAAGTCGCTGATTGCTGCCATAAGTCCCTGATCGCCACCATAAGTCGCTAATCGGCGCCATTATTATTATAAAAAAAAATTAAAAATCCCAGTATCTTTCCCGTCATTTGTAAACGCTATAACTTTCACGTAAACCAATTAATTTACACGTATTGGGTTTTTTTTTTAGCAAAGACATGTCGCAGAATGTATTTTGGCAGAAATTTATGACTAAATTAGATTTTTGCATTTTTTTTTACTGGACATGTTTTATAGCAAAAAGTCCAAAATATTGTTTTTTTTTCCTCAAAATTGTCAGCCTTTTTTTTTTATAGCGCAAAAAATAAAAACCGCACAGGTGATCAAATACCACCGAAAGAAAGCTGAATTTGTGGGAAAAAAAGGATGTAAATTTCATTTATGTACCATATTGCATGACCGCGCAATTGTCAGTTAAACTAGCGCAGTGCTGTACAGCAGAAAAATGGCCTAAATTGCAGTATCTATACCATAGTTTGTAGACGCTATAACTTCCACACAAAGCAATCAATATACACTTATTGGGATTTTTTTTACCAAAAACATGGAGCAGAATACATTTTGGCCTAAATTTATAACCAACTTTGAGTTTACTATATATTTTTTATAGCTGAAAAGTAAAAAATATTGTTTTTCTTCAAAATTTTTGGTCTTTTTTTGTTTATAGCGTGAAAAATAAAAAGCGCACAGATGATCAAATACCACCGAAAGAAAGCTCTATTTGTGTGAAAAAAAGGACGTAAATTTTGTTTGGGTGCAGCATTGCATGACCGCGCAATTATCAGTTGAATTAGTGCAGCGCCGAGTAGCAAAAAGAGGCCTGGTCATTAAGGGGGGTAAATCCTCAGGAGCTCAAGTGCTTAAAGCTGAGCTCCAGCCATATAGAAAAGACCACCACTCAATCCAGGCATGTATTCCCTAAAACTAATATAATTAACTAATCAATACATCAAGCACAAGTGTCCAGACCTGTCTTTATATCAGTCTCCTTTGCAACCTAGGATTGAGACGGGGGGAGAAAGGGGGGATTTGCTATGGGCATTGTGCAGTAGTGATGGGCCGAACACCCCCCTGTTCAGTTTGTAGTTGAACATTCGAACATAACAAAAGTTGAACCGTGAACTTCCAACAGAGGGGACAATTCACTAATTCACATCTGAGTATGCAGTAAGATACCGCACAGCTACTAAACACATTCTTAATGAGATTGAATGTATAAAGAGTTGCAGCAATTAAAAAAATTAAAAAATAAAAACACGTGAGGTCCCCCCATCCATACCAAGACCTTCGGGTCTGGTATGGATTATAAGGGGAACCCCTACACCACATTAAAAAAAGAATAGAGTGGGGTCCCACCCAATACCAGACCCTTATCCGAGTATGCAGCCCAGCAGGTTAGGAAAGGAGGAAAGGGGAGGGATGAGTGAGTGCCCCTTCTGAGCAATACCAGGCCACATGCCCTGAACACAGGGGAGTGATTTGGGACAGGGGACACCCCCCCAAAGCACCTTGTCCCCATGTTGATGTGGACAAGGGCCTCTTCCCCACAACCTCCAGCCATGGTTGTCGAGGTCTGCATTCAGGGTGCTCATTGGAATCTGGAAGCCCTGTTTAATAAGGGGTCCCCCAGATCCAAGCCCCCCCTATGTGAATGAGTATGCGGTACTGCAACTCATTCACAAAAAAAAAGTGTAGTGCAAAAATGACAGGAGACAGCGTTTGGCAAGTCCTTTATTAAAAAAAAAAATTTAAAAAATGTCCCCCAAAGTAGATCCGACATCAATCATGATGCCCACCGCCACTGCCAATCCAAAAAGAGGAAAAAAAAAACCCACTCTGCTCTTGATGTTGGCTCCCGGCCGTCTGACAGCTGGGCCACGATGACAGTTCTTAAATAGTGTGATGACATCACAAAGGGGCGGGGTGATGTCATCATGCACTGTGATTGGCCAAAGCATTGCACCTGATAAGGTCGGGTGCATTGCTTTGGCCAATCCCAATGCACTGGCAGTGCGCAGTGCATTGTGGGGCGTGGCGGGTGAATACACAAATGAGTGATGTTCGAGTTGAACTAACATTCGACTCGAACATACAGCCAATCCCTATTGTGCAGTGATGTCATTTTAATGCTGGTAACTTGCTACTAGGAAAAGAGTTATGACCTCATCAGGGAGAGGGGGTGCTCCTGAACCCAATCAGCATTCAGTGGGGAGGTTGGTGACCAAGCTGTATTTATTAACATCAGCAGAGAGATAGGAAGTCACTGACATGGCAATGCTGTCTAGGAAGGGTGGCTGGTTCAAAACTCTGGCTGAATAGAATTACAATCACTTTGTCAGGTAAAAAAGTCCACTATATATCTTACCTCCATATTTAGCTGTTTGTCTGGAATTCAGCTTAAGGCACAGCGTGTTCACATAAATACACCCATATACAACATCTATAATTTTTATATACCTGTGGGAACTGGAAGACGCCAGTTATCTGGGCAATTGGAATAGATAAAAAGGAATAATTGTCACCTACAATCCCGACCATGGCTGAATGTGTTCGACAACCATATCCAGGAAAGGGGTTTCCAAGTCCTGACAGCAGGGACAAAATTCCAGCCACAGCCCGGACCTCCGACATACAGGAATCCAGCACACTGAAGCCAAGGGTAATATTAGGCAGGATGTCTGGAGAATTGTTAATTTCATCTATTGCAAACATGAGGCCCAGAATATCTCGATAATATCGAATATGGAACCTACACAAGATGAGAGAACATGTGAGATCAAGGAATATAATGGAGTATGCTAGTGTCATGTTTCTGGTTAGAGGTAGAAGTGATTAGAGGGCTTCCCTTACAGCTCTTGTCCAAACACCCCTCAAAATGGTGATGAGGAGTGAAAGGGCACAAAGTGGCATGGGAGCCTGAGAGTCCAGTCCATAGGTGACTACTCTAGGTTGGTAATGAGCAGCAGGGAGGTGCTTTTGTAGACTGCTGAGGAGACCACTGAAGAACCAGGTGAAGAAGCCCCAGAGGAACAGACTGGAACAAGCAGCTGATGGAGGCACCAGAACCCATGAAAGATGTCAGGCAGAGATTGAGGCTGCCAATGCTTGACCAATGGCTTACCAATGGCACCACAAACACAGGGATAGTTTTTCCTTCAAGTGACACCAGGAAAGTAATGACATTTTTCCTTCTAGTAACATCACAGATACAGTATTTTCCTTCAAGTGACACCATGAACACAGGGACATTTTTTACTTTCAGTGACACCACCAACACAGGAGCATTTTTTCTTTTCAGTGACACCACTGATATAGTACTGATTACTGATTCAGCAGTGTTGATTCTCGGACTTTTAACAAAATTTAGAAAATCTACTTGTGACTTGGCCAAGTGGCCTCATTCAGCCGTCAGTCCCTTTGAAGGCAGTGCTACATGCTATTAACTATTTAACTATTAGGATACCAATGTGTGAACAACCAACACCACCATTAGCATTAAAAAATGAGTAATGAGCGGGCTATGAAATGGAAGCAGGTAGAGCCATAGAAATGAGAATGACCATAAGAGTATCTGATGGTGATTTAAAGACTACAGTCAATACCGAGTCCATCATCTTCTGTCTCAAACAGAATTATCTTTCATTATTTTGTTGTAGAATTACAAGGCAAGGATAAAGAGGTCCAGTAAAAAGTATATTGATGTATTTAAAGGTTTCAGTCATGTCTCCCCTTTCCCTTCTTTCCTCCATACTGGACATGTTAAGTTCCAGAAGTCTCCACTAATATGTTTTATCTCCCAAGAACTTTCACCATTTTTGTTCCCCGTCTCTGGACTCATTCTATCTTATCAATATTTTTTTTGTAAGGCTACGTTCACACTAGCCTTCTGTGCAGGCGGCAGAGAGGCG